GGGCGGGGGTGGCGGGTCGGTCGGGTTCCGGGACGGTCGGGTCGGGTCAGGGGTGGTCGGGAGGGAGGTGGTCGGGCGGGGTGGTCGGGGCGGGTGTGGTTGGTTCCGGGGTGGTCGGGCGGGGTGGTCGGCGCGGGGGTAGTTACGGCCGGAATGTTCGCCTTGACCAGTGGCTCTGCAAAACGTCAGGTGAGCATGCTATTACACGAAACGAGGAAGCTGCAATCTTGACCTCAGCTTGCCCCAACGAGTAGTGTCCTGTTCATAGTAAAGAAATGTTCGACTCGATGCAACGGTTTGGTATGGTTGTGTGCACCACATTTAAAGGGGCTGGATGATGTACCGGACATTAAGTCCGTCTACGAATTATCTCCGGAGATTCATTACATCAAGATAGGCACAACATGAAAGCTGAAAGTTTGAAGTGAAAGCTGCCAGTTGCGCAACCGTTTTCAACACGCGGATTGGGGATGGTCAGCTTCTTGGATGTACTGCAAATCGAGAACTACATTTTGCTTTGATGCTAAGCAGGAAGAAGAGCCAATCACAGGGAGCACGAGATGCTCGCTGCGTCTAAACGAAAGAAGGACCAGAGAGCGATCACAAACAGCACATTAAAGGTCCCGTCCTTTCTCGGTTCAGTGATGAACGGAAAACAAGTTTGATACGATTGCGTTAAACTCACGTAGCGTTTCGCAGTCCACCGGAGCGAATCCAATGCGGCTTGCATCCGAGTCGAAGACAATCTGTCGGAGAAATAAAGGGGTCTGAATTATCACGCGTAGGGGCGTCAGTCTGATGCAATCAAAGTGCAACCGTCAAAGGCGCCACGAGTTTTTGATTGGTGTCGGTCATAAAGCCTTCGTATGCAACTCAGTGACTGCACGACGCGTTCGCACCCAAACGTCCACCTCTGTAAAAACAGGTAATCCGGGCTACCAATTCTACACGAGTTTGGCAACACAATGACTACAAAACCTTTCGTTTCAAGCGTTAACGGATAAGTGAAAGTCGGAGAAGTGCGTTCTTGAGTTTGTCTGGGTGCTACTACTTGGCAGCTTTTCTCAGGGTCTCCTATATTTGTTTCTTTAGAAATCGTGGAGCTCCAGCTAGTAGGCTTCGAATGCATGCAGAGCTTCAAAATGCAATTACGGCACATAAAGGGCAGAACTAACGTACTGTGTTTTACACAGTCGACCCACCATATGATGATGTCATGCCACCAAGCAGGCCCGGGCATCTCATTCAAATTTGTTTTGCACTGATTCGGGACATTTGTAACTGAGCTTGAACTATCTGCTTCAAGTTGGTTAGGGTTCCGGGACTTGAAGACCAAGAAGTAGACCTTCATACGACTCACCATATTGTCTGTGAGGAAGTTGCCGCCGATTAGCCGACCGGTGCCCGCAAAAACGGGGTCCGTCCCTACAAGCCCCGGATTAAGGGCGAGTTCTCCTGCGGGCCCAAAGCTTCCAATCTGCGGGTTTAAAAAGGAACTTGTCAGTACTATCACGGCAATCTTGTTTAGGGTAGGATTAGGGTAGGGTGTAAAAGCGTCTGGAGATCGACTAGAACGTTCAGTCGATCTGCAACCGGGTCAGGAAACTCGAGGCTTTGAAATGCGCACTGAGACTGGGGATTTGAAACACGTTCTGTCTTGCTGGATGAACGGAACGAAGGACATAAGCAAAACCGGCTCGAAGAATATGCCGCAGTCAGCTGAAGACAGCTGGCCGATTGAATTTTGTCCGATAGATAAACTACCTGAACTTGGAACACAGAAATGACCAGTTTTACAGACTTGCCGGGAAGTATGCCACTGACGGCGCTGGTGTTTCAAAGGCTCGATACAGAAGGAGGCGAAATTACGCGGCACGCGGTGATTCCGGAGACTATCGCCCTACTTTTGCTGATCCCCGGACAGACGAATTCTAACGTGCGGGGGAATGTTTCGATCCTGCAATTCGGGCTTCGCTCGTGACAGGGTTTTGTGACAGGGTCTTCTGTCGCTTAACTGTGGTCGATTCCAGTCCAGAGTCCAGATAGGAGCTGGTTACTACTACTCCCCCCTTGACCAGAACTCGAGCAAGAAATGAATTTTGTAAATGGTTAAACAGCCCGGGTATTTTTTTGGAAAACGGGACTTAAGTCTGCAGCCCAGCCTGGTTAGCAGGCAGGATTGAAACTTGTGGACCCACCTTGGCATACGATTTCGCTGTCGCTGTCAACCGGGTACCCCCCGGTAGGACGACTGTGATCGGGGGGAAGCGCGCGCCAAGCTCATCGGCAGTCGGATTCGCCGAGATCGCTGCAAAGAAGAAACTGCTGTTTCTCTGGGGTTGGTTCGGAATGCAGGGAAATATGATAATGGTGCTAAGAGGTGTGCTGCCGTGAGGCAGACGAGAGATTGCACCATCAGTCAGGTTGCTTTCCCTCCGGCCGAGTGTCGTCTACGAGTTAAAGGTTCGCCGGAAGGCCCAAGGTTGCCAGGACAGTTGAGCTAGCACGATGAAGTGCGGAGCTACGATCAAGTTCTCGGTTTGTAGACGGACCCGCCTTATTTAAAGAAAGAGCTGACTGATGAAACGACCGTGTTAAGTTCTCTTGATCGTTGACTGGGGCTTCGGTTGCCGGCTTCCCCTCTCTCAAGGAGGGGGCCACCCACTTACGTCAGGGATTGGTTATGGGATTTTATGGGATTTTTGCTTTCTTTTTTCTTCTCGCTCGCAAAATCGCTCTCCAGCTCGCTCTCTTGTAAGTCGTGATAGCTTGCTATCTGGATGTGACGGTTGGACAGGGTTTACACGCTGCCTGTCTACTTCACATGTGCGGAAACCATGCGAAGCTTTTCA